CCCCAAAACCCCAAAACCCCAAAACCCCTTTTAATCAATATATTATTGCAAAATAAAATAACAATCTAATTAAAAAAGGAGTAAGCTTTGGGAGGTTTGGAAGTGATTTGAAGTGATAGAACGGCAAAGAGAGCCGGATAGGTTTTTTAATAGAGGGATTTGCAGATCTAGAAGTTTAATACAAGGTCGGAGGGTAGCCTGTAGCTGAGAGGGTCTTACGCCTAAATTTGTTGAGGTTGCAGGAAGATACTGATGATGATTTTATTAAGGATTCAAACTTTAGAATTTATTCTTTTCTCTTGGCTCTTATTTCACTTTTGGACTCCTCATTTAACAATAAATCTTAAAGAATTTCCTAAATGTAATAGACTGGAAGATATAATGAATTTTTTATTAATCTCTAAACTTCAAGATTATCTAATCAACTTCTACATAGATCTCCTAAGATGTTTGGAAGCAGTGATTACACGTAAGTTCATTATGCTTTAAAAATTTGAGTTCCCAAAGTTTCAAAAATCTTCTCTAGTAATAATTTTCAAAAGATCTTATAAATTATTATCATTAGCAAAACCCAAATCGGAATGTCGAAGCCAGTATACTATGAGAGAGACGGATTTGGCAGAGATTCTTACATTTCTATCAATAATGGAGGTCTTAACCGTCCAATGGAGAATGGCATCTATAATTTCGGTAAGAAATTTGCTATAATTCCAGGCTCATTCAGCTCAAAACATACACAATCAATGTATGCACCAAGAATTGAATGCAAAAGAGTCAGATATAAATCTAATGGACTTGGAAGAGACAGCTATATATCGTAAGTGCCTAACTTAAAATATAGTGTAAATAATGGAGGGTTAGCTTCAAATGGTCATATGAGAGACACCTACACAAACGGCTTCCTTGGCTCACTTAGACAACCAAGTTTTCCCACTACTCCCAAAATTAGAAGCAAAAGTAAATGAAAAACCATCAGGGAAAGGAAAGATTTCTATATTAGTATGCAAAGCTTCTCAAATTGGAAGCAAAAGAAGGCTTCTTCTCTCTTCAGAAGGTACCAACAAACAAGAGATGAGACTCTCTCAAAGCCCAAAAGGAAGGCCAAGAAGTACTGCACCTTCAGACTTCATGGAAAGTTAGTCAAAGCATGCATGAACAAGACAGAGAGGAATTTTCTAGACAGACTTCAAAAATAATATCAGAAAATGGGGTTTTGGGGTTTTGGGGTTTTGGGGTTTTGGGG